ATTATTGTTGTTGTTATTGTTAATATTATTATCATGATCCTTGCTAATATTATTGCCACTAATGGTATTATTATTGTTAATAATAATACCATTATTAATATTGCCATTACTATTAGGAGACGTTCCTGATATTATATTACCACTATTTCTTCTATTACGACGTTTTATGGATATAGATCTTGACCAATTTCTAATTGCGATTTGTAATAATAATAATATTTATGAAGTTTATCCGATTTTTTTATACTGGATGATTTTGCTGACTTTTAACGAATTAAAAATTTGGAGTGTGTAACCGACCGGATTTTGGAATAGCTCTCTATTTTCACAATAAACACCAACTTCATTATTAAATCCAAGTAAAATTGCACTTTTCTAATGAATATCCTTTTATATTGAAAAGAGCTATCTCTCTAAGTAAAGTCATAGCCATTCTGAAATGTATTGTATTTCTATTTGGAGGATTTTCTTTTTGATTTTGGTTATGGGTGGGTATTAGTATTACTTCATTGTAGAGAAAACGGCAAAAATAATTTCATCAGATCTCTAAGTAAATCTTAATTATTATTATATCCTATTCGGGATAATTGATACGTATAAATTCAATACGATGTAACAGTAATTTATGCAATAGTCAAAAAAGCCGTATTATATTGGTTTGATATTTTTTTCAATATCGATCACGAAAATTTTATAAAATTTACAGTATCATTTATTGATTTTTTTTTCATATTTAAAAAAGTATCATATGAATAAGCTATACTTTTGAAAAAATTCATTTTTCCAATTCCTTTAAAAAAAATAGAAATTTATATACCTGTTTGTGAGAAGTTTTACTCATTGTATAAACTTTACAAAATGGCTTGTACTATATCAAAAAAAAGAATTAAAGCAGGAAGAAACTAAATGTTCAATACCCAATTGTCACGTGTTAGTTCTGATAGAAGTAAGTAAACAGAGTTGTTCATATAAACAATAACGCTATTTTTAATACTTTAGTAAGATTGCATTTCTTTAGTAGAAAAAAAATTAATCAAAACCAAAAAGTCACCAAGAATCCTGAATCAAAAGACCTAGTTAATACATCATCACTTTTGATTATTGATTCTCTTGCTTACAATATTTCTGTTAATTCATCAAACACTGATATTTGTGATGTTGAATCAGGTAGTACACTCATGAATAGAGAAAAAGGCCAGTACCAACAGGAAACAAACAAAAAATAT